TCTTCTGAATAGTAGTGTATCGTTGGATGCATTGAAATCTGGGTGGCGTATAACTGTTTAATTCGGTATTTAAATAAAGTTTTTATTGCAGCATTTCGCTACCTTCGAATTACAAAGTTCCATCTAAAATTTTTTGCAGTTTTGAGTCACTAAGACCACGAGTTCAGAAGCTATAATTATGTTCTATCAAAGATTCTGTATAATAAGATGGTTCACTCCTCTCTTTGAACCAATTAAAAAAGTGTCTCAAAATCCGGTTGCGCCCTCTCCAAAAAAGCGGCCGCTTTGCAAACAGAGTTACCCTACTTGTGTGTGTGGGAAAAAATCGAAGTGAAACTACAAGTTTTTGTATACAATATAATTAAAATTTCAGAATAACGCCTTTTTAAATGGCTACGCTGACAAAATTCCTTTTCAGGTGGGAGGGGCGACTGTTTTCTTCGTTTATTTGGCTTTAGAACGAAAGGTGAGAGGTCATTAAAATAAAATAAACCCAAAACTCCGCACTGAGCGAACCGGAACATCTGAGGCATAAGGGAGTGCTATTCCTATTCTTCTTCTGGAGAAACGAAAGAGAGCTTCAAAACAAAGACTGCAGCGACGTCCGAACCCATGCATCGACTTCCGCGGACACTTTTTTGTCCGCCGAGTGAACTATCTTGTTATGTACAATCTTGTTTCTACCTGCTTTATCAAAATCGTAAGATTATTCGGAGTCGTTATCAAGATATTCAAAGAATTCTATTCGAAAAAGCTTGACATGTTGCGAAACTCAAAAAGTTTTGACTTCAAAATTCTCAAAACTAGGTACTGAGCAGATAGAACTTTATAATTCTGGGATGGCGATGAGGCACTGGAATCCCAGGTTCCGTTGACCCCTTTACAACCCAAATAATGTCCCTTTCTCTCCCTGTTTATGAACCATTATAGTTATACTCTCTACAATAAAGCTCACATGATTGCTATCAAAATTGCTACCAATGGGCAATACCTTTTCCTGTTTCTAAGAAATACGCAGTATACAGTAATCAGTTTCATGTAATTGTATTATTTGTACAGATGAGAGATGTCCTTTCTGTAATATTTATTTAGTTCCTGTAAGAATTCAAATTTCTCCATTAGATTAGACATCTCTGTCCTTGGGTGCTAGGGGATTCAGTGTGAGAAGCAACCCCCCCCCCCCAGAGTTGGGCTTCACTCACCGATGGATACACAGCAGCTGAGACAGAGCAGCTCCCATTGTGACAAAAGCAATGAGACAATAATATCCTTCTTCAGGATGTATCTTTTTCTTATTTGTTCTTTTGTACGCAAACCCCTAGTTCTTACTCTTTGCGGTTGTGAGTGTTCCTACTTTTGTTATTGCTGCTGTTGTTGCTGTTGCTGCTGCTGCTGCTGTTGTTGTTATTGTCGTTGTTGTTGTTGTTGTTGTTGTTGTTGTTGTTGTTGCTGTTGTTGTTATTGTTAATGCATTTTTTTGCTGTAGTTATTGTCACTGTGGTTGTAGCTGTAGTTGTGG